ACCTCCTACCTCATTGAGGACTATCTCTACCTCTCTACATCCCTCGATTTCGAGTACATCTCCAGCGATCCACTCTCGCGCGAGTGATGCTACTCTGAACGCCGACCGACCTTTGGTTCCACCACAAGACTCTGCCTTGGGATCACGACGACATTGAATACTACAAATCTGCAACCGGGTACTTTATCGATGATCACCCAGCTTCTCATTGGCCATCTACTTTCTCACGCATTTGGGGCACCCGGGGCTGGCAATTAGTGCTTTCTGCCACTCAGAGTTTTGATATTTGGACACAATGCGGGCGATATGAAACCGCTCTTCGTGTTGAAGAGGAACGCATTGCTGCTGAAGAAGCACGTTTCGCTGCCACCCAACAACTCGATGACAACCCTGTTCCCCGCAGAGGCCTAAAGAGACAGGCTGTGGACAACTTGGAACACCTCAACGTTCAGTACCAGGTGGAAGCTCTCCTACACAATTTTAAGCGTCTTGACGTTTCTAAGGTTCCAATGCTCCAGGGCCTACCCGCCCCACAACAAGAACAGCTCATCACTGGGGTCGTCCACACCCTCACTACATACCGCGAGGAGCTTCATCAGTCCTACCGACCAGACGATCCACCCGGCCATTCAACTGCGTCCTCTTCGGCCCCTCCTGACTACTTTCCTCCCACTGATCCCATCAGCGATGGCACTGGACTTCCGCTTCCTGTACCCGATTCAGCATCTATGTCACTGAACTCCACATCGACTGAATCTCAAAATACTTTATTTCCTTTGGATCGTCCTCATGATTGACAACAGCCTGCGATCTACATCGTTTCCCTATACTCCGGACCCTCTTCGCCTTGCTGTGAAAAGATCCTCACCTCACTCTCGCTTGGACGTTTTTCATTCGCTATTAATGCTTTTGCTATACACATTTTGCTGTTCTTTTCTGCAGCCATTGGCTCCGACTCACTTTCGCTTCTTTCCCTGTCCTGATTTCATCCCCGGGGCTTCGTGTACCTGAACCTTTGACACACACGATTCCCACATCTCGTACGTCATGGGGAGAAGTTCGTCAACCCTTTGAAACATTGGATATGGTGCCGGACCTCTCTACTGTCCGCTTTGAATTGGATGTCAGCTTGCTCGTCTACCAACCCCTGAACTACATTACAGTGACCCTAGACCGGCAACAGATTGACACCAAGGAGTACACCGTTCACGATCTCAAGGACGTGATCTACTCCCGCCTAGGCCAACATCGCTCGGCCTTCTGGATGGCCCTCCCTTCGACCGGTGATTCACGAGTATGGGAAGTCCCTCACACTTGTACCCTTGAAGACCTCGTCCTTTACTTTATCAATTCACGCCGGCTACGCCCACTTGGCCCCTCCACTGAATATCCCCGCGACTCTGTTCCTTTTCCCTATCGACCTCTCCATACAGTCGCTCCCCGTCTTCACGATGATGCCATTGGTCAACTTCGCCTCCCATTGACTGCCTATCAGACCTACCGTGAGATCCGTCAGTTCTCTTAGTCTCACCTTACCTTCGGCGCGAACCTTAAAATCTTGCCTCCCTCCGGGGAGGCGTGTGTGTGTAACCCTTGGAGTCATAGGGATGCTTTTGCATTCTTTTATTTATTTGTTTTACCGCAGGGGGACCAGGCATCTTGCTGCTGACCTGGTCTAACAAAGCTAGGCAGCAAGATGGGATACTGGAGTTGGCCACTCCAGCGTACCTGCATTTTCCTTTTCCGCATGGCAAGAGGCTAAGCCAAGAACCTCTTTAGTTGCTGCAGACATGCACGGAACGCCGTCAACTTGTCGCCTCGTCGGTTCGTGGCCTTTAACTACAGGAACTCTGGTCCCCTTCACCTGGTTTTTCAGGATTTGGGTCTCTTAGGCTGGCGTGTGGCACCGCATTCACATCAGTACGCATATCCATGAGTGTGTTAACACCTGTCTCTAAGGTTTGTACCTGGTAAGTCTGCCGTAGGTTCCACTAGAAGGCTGGGTGCTACTAGTAGCTTCTGGCCTGACTACTAGGAGCCAAACTGAAACCAAAAACAGCGCGGGTCAAAAAAGACGCAGGGGGACCATCCATGTGCTGTGAGTGATGGTCCAACGAAGCGGCCACAGCATATGCGGATATCTGGCCTGATCAGCCAGACGTATCTGCCAAGATTGTCGGTTGAATAAGCTGTCTATTTCTGTGTTTTGCAGTAAGCGGCTAGTGCACTGAAACAAATTGTTAAACACCTTCAACTTTCCGGACTTCCTCGCCTTTCGGTTCGTGCACCTTTCAGTTTCTTCAAGTCAAGGGGGACTTCATTCCGATCCTAGCTCTTGCGAGCAACCATCTAAGTGTGCTCTCACACGTGCTATCATATGAATGGTATCTCATGTGTGTGTGTGTGCGTTCTCGTATTTTTGCTCTCATATGTATATATTTGTGTGCTCTCACATTGGTGAGCGCTGACTTGAAAAATGATAGCAAGAAAAAGGAAGCAAGAAAGGGTAGCGGGGGGACGAAAGGACCAGGCAAGCAAACAAACAGAAAATCAAAGGATATATAAAATCAGTTTTGAAAGGACATGTTGTATTTTGCTGGGTGTGTATATATATATATGGGGGGGCTGACCTCCAAAGATTCTGGCTTTTCGTGACAGGCGCTTGGTAGAAGTAGCGAAGGTTCCACAGCGCTGGATTGGGGGGAGGGCGCAGCACCATTGGCTGTTAGTTCCCGCAAAATGCATAGCGCAACTCTCGCAAGTTTTCGCAGAAAGCGCGAAACACCCCAAGACCTTGATTGACGCCTATGGATTGAATGATGAGATCAGGTTTTTCTTGTTGTATAATTAATGTTAGTTCTTCGTGTTGATCCTGTTCTTATTTGTTTATCTTGATCCTGTTCTTTGTTTCTTTATGCCTCGCAGGTTGAGGGCGTCTCCAGGTTGATTTATTTGAAGTATGGAATCTGATTGGTTCAAAACCTTTCAACATTAGGCCTAGGCGGCTAGGACGGCTAGGCCCTGGGTTTTTCAGGTCCTGAATTTTTGAATCAATCAATTCATCCACTCCATAGCTTCTTGGCCTGCTTCGAAGATCACTGGCTTGAACTCGTCTGGAACGCTTCCGTGCATAATGGGGCTGTCCCTGTCGAGGTGATCCAGAACTCCGGCAAAATGCATGTCATAAGAATTGAACTTGAACTCTTGAGTTCCTGTATGGGAACTAGCAACGAAAGTGGAGTCCCCCCTCCCTACCCAATGAGCCACCTCCCTTGATGCTGGTCGTTCAAAACAAAGCTTACATGATTAAACTCGCGCGCCACCCAAAACTCATCGTTGACATATTGACAACATTGACATATTGACATCGTTGTTTTCTTGCAGAATGCCATCAAACGGGAAACCGAAAACGCCACGAGGGCCTGTAGCGCTCCACATGCGACTCTTGTCCCTGGTGTGGACCACTCCAGCTCACTGAGCAGACCTGAAGCGCTTTGGCTCAGGGGAAAACACACTTTGTGACTTCCGGGCCTTGGCACTAGGCAGCACCCATTTGGTGAAGCCATCAAAAGTCTTCCAAAAATTATTGGCCTCAAAACTGAAAGCCGAAAGCACACTGGAGGCATGGCAACTCGGAGCAGAATCATTGTTATACAGCTATACACAGGCCTCAACCGCGTTGATGAGGTTCACAAAGGCATAGCCCAAACTGGCTTTGGAACGAAAGTCCTCAGTGCCAGTCACACAGCTCAGTCGAGGCCTGGGATGGTCGCGATTAAAAACCAGATTCGTTGCTGACAAAGGGCAATGGGAAGGTAAAGAAAGTCGTATTTTCCATGGAAGCCCTCCTTGTCCATCATCGCACAAACCTGATGAGGCAAGAAGTGCAACTCATCTCTTTGTCTCAGCTTAAGGCTTACGCCACATCAAACGAAGTTGGATGACCGATCACTCGTTTTGTACCGAGTCAGACATCCCAGCACAGGTCACAGAGTGTCTGAGGGAGCGACCATGTTTCGCGAGTAATTGTTCGGCAAATTCCGGAGCATCACAGTGGTCTCACCACCAAAAGCACCACTTCTAGGAGATTCCCCAACCGCACCGACCGCTTCAAGCAGCGAGACAGGTCGAGGCTCCTGATCTGAGAAACGACAGATTTATTTGTTCGTGCAATTGGCGCTTTCTTCATCTTGCTTCCATGGCGAGATTGTAAACACAGACTTTCAGCAATTGACATGCTCATGCAGAAGAAAAAGGGGCTTAAAATTCAAGACCCTATTTTGTCAAGACTCTGCAGCTGAGATCTTCTGCAGTAGCTCGTCCAAGGGCTGCCTGAATTGCAATCACAGCATGAATATCTCTGCAGCTGCGGCGCGCTGTTTGCTTTCAATGCTTGGAGACATCTTGATGCGCCTCACTCAAACCCAAACGCATTTCAAGACTTCAAGACCTCGTTTCCATTCATTCACGGCACTTTTGCATCTGGCCTCTCCAACGTGATGCCAGCTGCATCCAGCGCTTGTGAGGCTTGAGTCACTGCCAAGTTCATTGCTGCGTCCAGTGTCTCAGGTGAGGGCTCCCGCAGCCTGGTCCGCGATATTGTGCGACAGAAAGCAAACAAAACATATGACCATGGTCCACTGCCCATCAACCGGGATGAACCTGAGAATGAAGAATGCAGATTGTCCCCCGTGACAAATTGTTCGTCAGCTTCACTTTGTTTATCCAAGAATGTTGTAGTCGATCCCTCGCACCTCATCAGCACCAAACCTGGCCAACGGCGGTCGATGGCAACCCCAAGTGCGGCTGTCGATGGCTTCTTCCCGCCTTGCTCGGCATGTTCAGGTCTCTCGCAAGCGTCAGTATCCGTGTCGTCGGTTGAGACGGAGCTACGGCTCAGGCGCTCCTGGAGCGTTGACCAAGAGAGGCCTCCGCCCGGTTTAACCCAGAAGGCGAGCCACACCTGGGGAGTGGCCGCAAAGTCGGGGCTTTACGGCAGCGTCGTCTCAAAACACTCGAGAAGGCTATCTGAATGCAGAGATGCGACATACAAAAATTACACCAGCATAGACCCAGATAGCTAGGCAGAGTCCCACGACTTGTTGACATGCGACTGGCTGGAACAAGAATGTACACAGCTTGCGCAGCCACCTTACGGCACCTCCACGGCGCGCGCAATCAGCTGACACCAGCACCGGTGCACTTTGCCAGGTGACAACACCGGCAGCGGCACCAGCACCAGCACCAGCAGCTCACAGCACCAGCACCCAGCACCGGCACCCAGCACCCAGCAACCTGTCTCGAAAGCGCGCACGGGCAACTCATTGTTATTTGAAGTAAGAACCCCATAGCTTCGCTATCTGGGGAAAAAATGACTTCAAAATGTCAGGCGCCAAGGAGGTTAGGAGGTTGGGGCAAAAGGCCGAAGCTTGAGCGCCAAGTGCCACGAGATGCTACCTTCGGAAACAGGAAGGTCAAGACCGGTCCTTCTTGTTCAGGCTTGACAGAAGAGGCTGCGGCTCTCTTGGAGCCATCTCCACCTCAAAAGCTTAGATAAGAAAGAGGCTGCGGATCTCGGATCTCGCAAATTATTGAGAATGTTTCATCCCTTCCCATCTTGTGCCGAAGTAACCTCACAAATGCCTGGTACTGTATGACGACAGCAAAATACAACATTTTGCCAAGGCTCCGGAGGTACCTTTGGAGGTGATGGCTGCTCCTGAACTCAGCACCACAGCTGACAGGTGTATATTATATATAATACATATATAAAGCTTCGGCTGATCAACCTTCCATCTTTTTCCACATCTGCGAGAGCGGCTCCACGAAAACCAAGGCCAACAGGCCTCTTCTCAACCCGCTGTCAAGAGCAGGGAGGGACTCAGGGCGGGTGCCCTTGAGAGTCAGGTTGCGGACTCTCAGCTTTACCCCAACTCTTCCCAAACGATCAGCCTAGGGCTTGTCTCTTGAAAGCAGCGGGTACCAAGCCATGCTTGGAATTTTTGCAATCTTCAACAACTCAACCTCCTTCAACAATGCAGGGAACAACCGTGCCAAGTCAAAAATACGTTGTCGTTGGTGCTGACTTAAACGAAGCAAGTATTGTATCGATCCAATCTCTTGGATATAAATCTCCATAACCTTGGAGTTTACCCACCTCCCTCTGCGTCGTACAAAATCTGGATCCTCAGTGGTTTGCAGCTGCCATGTCGCTCCGCCTGGGCGGAGCGACCCCACATCCAAGGATTTCACCCCTTGGCGGATTCCGGTTTGCAGATGCAACGCACTGAGGAGATCTTTGAAGCGCAACCTAAAAGTGTGAGCCGAAAAGGGCCACAACTTCTGAAAAGGTGCTTTGTCACGGAAGGCGAGCTCACATACTCTAACCAAATCACCAATATCAAGCTTCGCAGTTTGATGTCGCGCAGCAACAAAACGTGTTTTGGGCTCGGACAGCCCCAACAAGCAAAAGTCGTTCGACCTCAGTGTATCGGAGGGGAGAAGAAGATCTCGACGAACTGCACTCGTCATTTCTGATGTCCTCAACAATGCTCCCCAACCCAGCGACAGGATGCCTGCCACTTCATGCCAGCCCCATGCCAACGACACGGAGATCATGGCGAGAAGGATTTGCCACGGCATTGCAATGTGGTGAGTTGGTCTTTCTTCTCGAACCCATGCAAATGCCACGTCCCACGCAGGCTGTAGTTGCCTACGCAAAACAGGTTTGTAGGAAACAATGCTATTGATGGACTCAACAAACACCCCATATGGCCGACCAGCATCATACAACCTTCTTCCATAAAGTTGCAGCACTTCATTTATCTTCTCAAGATTCCTCGTTGGGAGATTTAGCCAGTCCTGAATTTCAAACCCAGCCCGCTGACACCAGTTAAAGAATTCCCTCAGCAGACGTTCTCGATTTCCCGTTGTTGCCGCAGTCACAGGTCGACCTTGAGGTAGTGGCGGTCTGTTCTGCCTAAGGGCTCTTCTGTGCCAGTCGCCTCGTGTCTGAGGCCCGATCATCCCATGGCTCGAAGTGAAACACGCCCCGAGGAAAAATGAGACTGCAACCAAGGAAGCGGAAGAAGGCAGAGAGAAGCAGGCAAGCCAGAGGAGAAGACGGCAAGAGGAGTAAGGACCTTCTCCAGGAAAGCCGCAAGTTGAGTCAAATTTCATGTTTGAAGACCTGAGAAGGCCATCAGGAGTGCGAGAGACGGGCCAAGACCACTGGAATCCATAGAACCTCCTGGAAGGGAGGTGAAATGAAAGTCCATGAAATCCACGAAGTCCAAAAATGAGCCTCACCCAGTTTGATGCCCACCTCCGTAGTCCAGGAACGGCCAACATAGCCTCAACATCTTTTGCTGACAGGCCATCAATCGAGTGCACTGAGAACGAACCACGAACCTCACGATCTCTGGTAGGATCATCAGACGTGTTCAAGCGAGTCGGCACATAGGGTAGGCTGAAGTATAGCCCGCCCGCCAGACAAAGGGCCCCATACTTCCTCAAGAAAGGGGTCAGGGCCTTGCTGGAAGATCTTCCCTTTGAAGCTGAACATCTGACCACGTTGGAGTCAACAAAATTGACAACTCTGCGTGATCTCCCCCTTCTCACAAGCTGCTCTGCTAGTCTGATGACACTCTTGAGTTCAAGGATGTTGATGCGCCGCTTGTTCTGAAAGGTCCAGGAATCAACTTTTCTCCACTGGCAGTCGGTTGCGATGGCATTGACGAGCTGGTTCTCCAACCCCTTCACACAACCCTCCTCCTCCTTTCGGATGAAATCCTGCCTGGCTCTGATGGCAGCTGCAAAACACTCCGCAATAGCGCTCGCAAGGCTGTAGGTGTAGGAGGCAGATGCCTTCGTGTACCTTCCTTCTACAGTGATATGGGAGTGAGTTCTGTCACACCTCTTCTGCAGCTTGTCTGTTCTCATCCAGACTGAAAGGAACCGAAAGCTCTTTTGATGCGGGGACCCAAAAGCACATGAGTCTGTTCGCACCGTAGCAGCTCCTTCCTTCTTTGCCAGGTTCTCCCAGGAGGGGAGGTATTGCATCATTGAGGTCCAAGGCTGTTCGGCCAAACCAGGAACAAAATAGTAGTGTGCCACCGTCAACAAATACAGTGCTCGAAGCGCAAGAGTGTTTCCAGTGAGAGTTTTTTCGCACCCACCATCGAAACCCAAAGGGCAGCTTCTAGATCGTAGGGGAGGCCTTCTGATTCGAGAAAACGTGGTGCAGACTGGCTCTACCATGATGCTGCCCAGGTTCCCTGAAGAAATAAGGAAGCTCAACCATGAAACAACTCTGATAAGTGTCATGTCAAGTTCATCACAGAAAGCAATGTCAATGGGCGGGCCCACAACAAAGTTCAAAGCCTCCATAGCTTGGGAAACCCTCGATGAGCCCGCATAAACCTCAATGAAGTCATAACGAAAAGCCAGCGGTCGATTTGGGCTTGCATGGCACATGTCACCCCCCTCCTCAACAATGTTCTGCACCCCAACATCTTCATGCATCCCGAGCCTTTCAATGAGTAGCTCATAAGCCGTCTTCAGCCTGGTGTAAGCCCCTTTTGATCTGCCTGATCTCCAGAGCTTCATGGCAATGTTCTCCGGGACAACGGTCGAGGTGATAGCTCCTTTTGAGTCGGAGGCGTCTGTAGAGTAGACCTGGTCATCAAACACAGCCCCCAAATCGGCGACCATCAGGGGAGCCAGAACCGCCAACATCACCATTTCATTTGCCACTGGCCGTGGCAATTGCACCAGGCGAGGGTGTGCAGAATCGATTTTGCCGGCGTCAACCAGACTGCGCGACTCTGCTAGTATACTCATCAAAGGCCTCTGGAACAACAGCATTGATGTCCATCCTCCTAGCAAGCAGAGGTGCAGAACATCCGTTGTGTGTGAAAGACTAGAACATTGGAGGGTGAGCCATGACAAACACAACCTCTTCGACAGCGGAGACCCCAAGGTTGCAACCCCATTCTTGGCAGCATGGTCGCCAGAATTTATTTCAGCTCCAATAACTTTACTGTGCTCCTCGCAAACAACATCTTTGTCAGGAGACCCCAATATACCATGCTTCTTGTAGATCTCTTGGCTCTTCTGGAAGCAGGAAAAGGAAAGGGCCTTCTCTGAAGCCCTTCGCCGAGGCTCACGTGAAATTGCGAAATAATCATCAATCACCAAGCCCTGACATAGAGCACTCCCAGAGAAAGGTCGGCAAGAGACAATGCGCTCATCCTCCTGCAACAAACCGCCAGCTTGAAGAAGGTGCTCATGAGCTGACGTGGCTACTTCAACGCCTACATGATCTCCTTGGAAGAGAGCTCTAAAGCACACAAAAACTTCTCCGACAAGAAGAGGGGAATGGCGTGTCTCCCAAAAACCTCCTTCTCCGACGTGCAGCTGATCACCAACAATTTCACGCTTCCGCTTTTGCATCTTGGATGAGGCCCTCAGGAAATACTCATCATAGCACTTCAGACCTTTCAGATGATCAATCTCAACGGATGGGCCCACTGCGTTGCTGCGCACCTTCTCTTCTGATATCCAGAATTGGTGATAGAAATCTTTTCTGTCTGTGCAGCTTATCCTCAAAGTCTCTGAAGGGACCTTGAGGTGTAGGTCCAACAAGTCGGACCCAGCAGGAAGCCAGCGGGATGGCCCTTGAAGTCGGCCCTCCTGATAGTTTCTTCCACGCCGGTCTCCTATCTGTCTGTCACAGCTCTGATCTTTGAGATTGTTGAAAACCTTTGTAAGGCTGTACTCCGGGACATCACAGTCACTGAGGAAGCATAATCCATTCCGATCCCAGACCCTTGCCAAAGCCTCAACTTCAGTAGTCGGATCCCTCACCACAGGATATTGTCCAGGAGAAGGAAGCAGCCCGGAAAGCAGCAGGTCTGGCACTCGGTAGGCCATGCACAAATCATCATCAAGGTGGTCAGTTGCATCAAAAGATCCACTGCCTGAAATCTTTAGCCTGCTCGCATTGAGGTCCCTGTACGGTTGAAGCTGTGGAATCGTCTCATTGTTCATAGGCACAGGACACCCAGGGTACATATGGCCATAGGGTCCGGCAGCGCCCAACATAGTAAGCTGATCAGACAGCTCACCAAGCCTTGCAACTAATTGGGGAAACTTTCGGCCACTGACCAGCATCTCAAAGGACCCAGAACCAAGGCCGTCGGCCGCTATAATGCTCTTCAATCGTCTGTAGATTGCCACATGAGCACGAGAAGGGCATCTCGCCGGGAGAGAAAGATTTGGAAAAGCTTTCAAGCCTCCATGCCAATAGTTGAGGGCCATGATGACAATATGAATCACCCGTTTCAAATGAACCCTTCGTCTGGCACGTAGACTCATCCCCAGCGGCATCCTGTCAAAAATGCCCACCTCAGGCAGGGGGACAGGGAAGAGCGGCGATGTCGAAGTCACATTGCTTCGATGCAGATGAAGTGTGGAAACCAAAAATGCAGCAAAAGGAGTTCTGCTCCTCAGTATCATTTTCACCAAGGAAGAGCACCACCGCCAAAAAGTCAAAACCTTTGGAACCCGTGCAGAGGAATGTAGTTTGAAGTCACCACCCTCCGTGTCAGGAACCTCATTGCCGTCTGTGATGAAGGTACTAGGCCCCCCATTGTGAATTCTATCAGGTGCAGGTGACGCGCTATCATCTCCGCACCTCATGCAGTCCTCCAAAACAGCTACTGGTTTGCCTCTGCGCCCGCCTTTGGGCGCTTCGGGTATCGGGGCTTCCTCTTTGGCGAACCCACAGGAGATCCATCTGCCCCTGGATCCTTTTGAGCAACCGCCGCCTTCTTCCCTGAGTCTGGCTTCTTGCTGGCCAGGACTTCGATGTCTTTGATATAGCTCAGCGTAGTTGCTGTCCATGTAGGGGGAATCAACGGACTGAAAGGGCGGCTTGTCGTTGAGACTTGCATTGATCTCTCCTGAAACAGCTGAATCGGTGGGTCCTCGTGTAAGCTCACCAAATAAGCAACTGCCCAGTCTCCGTTGTCGTAGTTTGCTTGCTCCACTGACATCGCCAACAAAGCAATGATCTCCTTCACTCCAGCAAAGTCGTCTTGAGCTGCCGCATCTACAGCATGTGCCAAGATCCATTGAATCAGACCAAGTGACTTCTGCTGCTTGTAGCCCCCTGCCTTCTCCAGATATTCGACCATCGACAGGTGCCCCAACTCGGCCTCTGACTTGGGAAGAGCCCTTCCAGGAGAGATCCTCTTGTGGATCTGTTGCATCATAAGCAGGAAAAAGTTTCCGCTCCTCGAGGCCAGCTCGGCCTGAAGCTTCTCCCTTCGCTGGACTCCCCTCATACTTGATGAGCTGCTGAAGCCTGATTGGAGCTCTGTAAGAGGGTCCCCCCCTTGCTGTGCTAGATGTGCAACCAAAGCTGTAAGCGCAGTGCTCTGTTGAGACAATGCATTGACTATGTTGCCTGAATCTTGGCCAGCACGAAATCCATCTCCCCCCAAGAGAGCATTTGGTTCCTCTGGAGGAATGCCAGCCACCTTTGCCATGGAAGGCTGACCCAACTTCGTTCGTGGAGGTGGTCCCAAAAGCTGCAGAGTCTTTGCCATAGCAGGCTGAGGGCCGTCCACGGAACCAAGGCCTGCGGACAGATCCGGAAGCTTGTTTCTGTTGCCAGAGGAGGACCCGGAGACATTTTCGGCAGGCTGCCCCTGTACAGGTTGAGACTGCTCCAGGGCATCCTGCCTTGCCGACAGACGCTGTAGTTGATTGTTCAACATTGCGAGTTGCTCCATCAATACTGCATTGGTAACCCTCTTCGGGGCCACTCCTGCTTTCTTTGCTGCAACTGACTTTCCTTTGGCTGCAGGAACTTCTGGGTCTTCTTGAGCCGAGTAAAAACCAGCCAAAGGATCGGTTCTCTCGATGAGCCAAGCCCTGACACTCTCAATCAGGGCGTGAATTTGAGGAATGCAAGAAGTGTTGTCTGGATGGTAAGGCACGATCTCACTGTCCGCATCTGTGACAGGGTCGAACAGCCTTGCAAAATTCAAAAAATCATCATTGACATCCACAACGACCACTGGACCATTCATCCCGAGGGGGACCGGTGTGCCATCGTCAGACTCTTCCACCAAAGGAACGTCAAAATGCGTTCCCACTCCCAGCCAGGTAGGTGCCATCTCTAAGGAAGCCCCATCCGTCAGCCAAGACTCATCTAATACCCCATAGGGAATACATGCAAGAAAACCACCACCCCGAGGTAGGAGAGGTAGCACAAAAAGCTCTGTCACCACTTCAACCACTGGAGGCGAGAGGGTAGCCACCAAAAGTGAGAAGTCCTCTCGCAGCCCAGCAAACTTCACTTCGGACCGCTGCATTGGTACAGCGGAGGAACGTCAATCCCGAAGCTGGCACAACACACTTGAACCTCAGTGAGTGAAGCAAAACCTTGCCACACCGCAGGCTCAGAGTTTGGCACCTGAGAAGCAAGGAGGCTTCGGAGCTCTGTGATCTTTCGGACTCGGACTGCCCCGGAAATGCGGGAGTGGTAGAAGATGATCCACTGGGTATCGGACACTGAGATTGCTTCTCGTTGCAAGTACTCAGAATGGGTAGCGATCGCTGCCCAACACCAGAATCCAGCCTTCCACGCCCTCACAATTCTCTCCTTGGGGTCACCGGCCACGTTGGAGAGCTTCTGAGCTGCACTTGTTAGAAGGGCAGGCGGAATAGACTGAGGTCCGTCTTCAAACACCCTCCTGGAATCAAGCTCTACCGCAAAGGGCTGCTCAACTGAAGGCTCAACTATCTCCCAGCCAGCAATCGAGATGCAAGGAGCCGACGAAGACGTAGATGAAGATGAAGTCAAAGATGCACCCCTCTCGATTGCCACGCTCAGACGGGTCAACGCTGAAATGAGAGAATCAATGTCAGCTTTTGTCACCTGCTGGCTCATTCACCGTCTCTGTAGGCCGCAAGCCTAGCCCTCCTGTCAACAAGAAGATGCCGAGGGCGATCCACCTCCGACACTCCAGATTCCACCACAGGCGGGAAAAACCCACGACGAAGCACTGGATGGAGGTAGGAAAGCGCAAGAAATCCAAGGAGGAGAGCCAAAACAAATCCAAGGGAAATGCCGGTCAGCAGCCAAGGAAGACAGGAGCCTGAACAGTGGATGGGACAAGCGACCTTTGAAGAGAGGTCTGAAAAGGCGGTTGCAGTCTCGAGCGCCCACCTAACACCTGCTATCATGCCCTTGAGAGTCAGGTTGCGGACTCTCAGCTTTACTGGAACACATATATATATATATATATTATTATATGTATATATATATATATGTGTGTACAGTGTACAGTATACAGAAAGAAGCACAATTCCTACACATCACTCCTGGCTGGTGCTCATAGGGCTCACCTGCCGCTTAAAGCGTGACCAAATCACAGAGTCCTCGGTGCACAAGTCCAGTCCGTGAGTTGAGTGATAGCAATGCAGGTTGGTGATGTATTGGTCTGATTTGTCACAACCTGAAGGTGCTGGTATCTGATAGGTCTATCAGGGCATCAGTGGCCATCAGCTACCTGTTCTATAAGAATTTGGATTTCTGGAACATTAGCTGAGTCTTGCTTACTTCCAACTGCTGTCGCTTGACGAGAAGCTGAGTTGTACGTTGCTGGAAGACCTGTTGGAGTCGCGTCATCCTCCACTTCGATGAATGTCTTCTTGATGACAACTCTGTCGCCACCTGGCTCTTATCCCAACTGCGTGGACATTGATCACTGGTGCGCTCCATTTATGTTGCTCTTAACTTGGCCTTTTCTTTCCTTTCTGTCTGTCTTTCTTATTATTCCTTTTCTTCTTCTCTCTCCTTCCTATCTTTCTTTCATCCATTTCCGCCCATTTTCAAAACCCTTCCTCTATTGATCTTCCGTTCAACCCTTTTGAAGCCCTTTCGACACCTTCCATAGGAAGCGGCAATGTTGGCCCCATGGTCACTGTGCAGAGAATGGCTTCACAAAAGAAAAAGGAAGGCGGCCAGCCTGTCCAAGAAATTGGAGGCAAAGCTTGGAGGCTCTGATAAGTGAATTGTGAACCTGTTCCCTGTTGAATTGCCTCCTTGAGCCACGTCCAATCAAGCACTAACATTCGAGAGACGTGAACTCCACCTGCACTTTGGAATACTTTTGGAGGTTAAAGGCTTTTTGTGTCAACTTGAGCAATCTCAGGCTTCCTAGGCTTCAGTTGAAGCCCATCTGGCAAGATCCTTCGCAGTAAACCAACGGGCTTGGATGAACACATTCCTTGCCCGGAAAACCACTGGCTTTCTGCTTGTGGATTCATCAAACTTTTCTGCATTGGTCTCGCCATGCCATGTGTCCTGCACCTCAAGCTCTGCATCCGTGCGCTTTCAAAGAAACCTACAAAAAAGCAGAGAATGTTGTGTGTGATTCTTGAGGGCCCAAATAATGATCGTTTGCACAAAGCCAGAATCCGACGGCAGGCACCAAGTTGAAAGGTGGCAAGTATTTCTGTGGTCACAGTCTGTACTCCCAAGAAATGCAATCTCCGGCTTTAAGCAAGAAAAGCGTTACCCTCCCACGTGCGCTCCCGCCATCTCACTGCCCTGAATCACTGAATCTGATTCAGATGGTTCCCGGACGCTGCAAGCATGTGGCACTGGCGTTCTCGGATAGCTTGCATATGCACTTGGATCTTAAGTGCTAGCATTGGCATCGCCGTAGGAAAAAAGAAGAGAGAGAGAGAGAGAGAAACAGAGAAACAGAGAGAGAGAGAGAGAGAGAGATGGAGATGACCAGGAGAGAGGCAGTGATAAAAATGGAAGCTCAACAAGCTGTACAAGTAGCTCAAGTTTTCCCAGAGTGGTGATAACACACAATTTTTTGGCAGGACGTGGATGCTGCTAAAGCCGATGTGACTTGCAAACATACATGACATCTGAACTAAACATAAAACGAGGTTGGATCTCGTGTGACGAGCCCAATAGCCTCCAATGGATCACCGCCACATGCCTCTGGCGTAAGTCTAGAAAAGCTTTCAAAGGCTTTTCCAGAGATCAGGGAGAGTTGACAAAGATCTGCCAACTTTGCCTGCTGAGTGCAATCCAAGTGGCTGGCATGGTGGCAGATCTTTGGCCGGTTAAGAAGGATTGCAGAGATCATCCGAAAGAAGCACTTCTACAGCTCAACATGTTTTTGAATCAACATGAATGTATAAAGATTTAGCTTTCCTTCAGATCCTCTGAAAGCGCTGTGATTCAGCACTTGATCCAAGTACTTCGGCTCAGCCCTGCTCATAGCTACAGGCTGGCGATGGGCCCTGTGCCTGGAGCTATCAAAAACTGGCAACAAGACTCAGCGTCAATTGCAACAAGACTCAGCGTGCTTGTGACTTCACGTAGTGTCGTGCTTTTCTTCTCTTCATGACATGATAACAGTGCATACTGCTTTTCTTCCCTCCAGGTTGACAAGAACCCTTGCCTTGCGGATAGCCGTCACCACCTACAGTATGCAGTGTCGCAGTCTGCAACTAGACCCTACTCCTTGCAAGCAACCTATCATTGTCTTCTGTCCCTTTCTATTTTTCATTGCCTTGTCTGGAGCGACCTGTCAGGAACACATTACATACATCATGAAAGCAAATGGTAGGCCACTCCCGGCGACCAGGTCCATCAAGAGTGTAGTGAATATAAAGCTGAATCATCTTGATTGTCATATCGCCTGCCTCGAGCCGGTTGCGGCCTGTCGAGCACTGAGCAACAACTCTCGGTTGCTGTCTACATCTGTGAATATAAATATCCTTACCTTGTTCTTTCATTTTTGCTTAAACATGAATTTGCTTACTTCACTGTGCAACAAAGGTCTTGCTTTCCAAACACAAATAGGTTTGTCATGATTTGTCTATTCCCTATCTCCGTCTTGGGAATCTTCCACTTTGTTCTGTCCAAGATGTCGGTTTTCAAACAACAAATGTTCCGCTCGTAGACTGTTTCTTGAGGTGAGTAGAAGTGCATGGCCACATGAAAATGCCGCATGCCGGCCTATTGACAATGTTGCTGGCAACAGCCTGCATTCATTAGGATTCAAGGTTTTTGAGTCGATGATCAAACGCATTGCATTAAGGGTAGTCAACCAAGATACAAGCTGCCAGCTGAAGCATTTGACGCAGTCTCAAGTCTCATGAAATTGCAGCCCATACCGGTGACACTTGGCATGCCATCCTTTTCCTGCCACCATGCCTCTCGCTCACATAGCCGTCGGATGAACTGAAGTGCTGCTTGCGCGGCCGGTAATGAAGGCCCCTGTCAAAGGTCCAGTTTAGGCAAAAAAAATCAAGTCGTCCCGTTTCAAGGCCTGTGGTACAAGTACATCTACCACGTACTTCCCAGAGGAGCACTTGTAGACTTGGACTGTCAACCTCAATGACGCGCAATGTGATTTGAGTACTGTAGAACTCTTTTGTGTGCGCCTTGCAAGCACTGTCTCCTCGCGCTCGCGCATAAATCCAAGGGCAGCACATGATGCCCATCTGATGTACAAGTGGCCGTGCTCGAACACGCCAGGGTGTGACGTTGTGCCACTGGCAAAGAATCGGAATTATAGAAATATATACACCATTGCTACTAGGAACAAGAAGCTACTAGGGGCTCCTGGCCTTACTACTAGGAGCAAGGACGCTACTAGGGGCTCCTGGCCTTACTGCTAGGAGCGAGAAGCTATTAGTTAAGTTTCCCTACAAATCGCCGCCTTTAGGGCAGCGGGGGGAGCTTCCTTGAAGAAGCCTGACCTATCCTGCGTCCAGTAGGTTGTAACTACTAGCTACCTTTAGCTACCTACCTACCTACCCACCTAGTAGCTACATCCACTCGCGGCCTACCCCCCAAAAAAAGAAAAAACTAAATTTCCTTCACTTGATCAACTTCCCAAACCCACTTCGCACCTCGTAGCCAAGGTCTCTTAGGTTTAGAAGAACTTCCGTCATCAAAACCGAGGCCTGAGTCTTGAGAGCGGTAGTCCACAGAGTTTTCACAAACCCAGCAAACCCAGCACAGCAAGAAAAGTTGCTGGGGCGCAGCCATGGGCTCACCATGGTGCCAGGTTGAACATTAGTAGCGTTCTTGCTCCTAGTAGTGATGCCAGGAGACCCTAGTAGCGTCCGATCGCTCCGCTCTTGAACTCACCGCACCTCCATCACTGCCTCTACACCTAGTCGCCATGGGCACTCTGGCGCCATTGAAGCCTTGCGTGGGGCCACTCCAAAGCTCAGGGACAGGGAATAATGCAAATATCCCTCCACGTGGGGTGAGTCATGTGAAGTGTGTGTGTGTGTGTGTGTCAACTCCTGTCTTTAAGGAATTTTAAAATGTGTACAAAGCAGGGGGCCAGCTGGTGTGATCCCCACCGAGGGGCGCGGTTTTTTGCACATGCCCTTAAGGGTGACCCTCCACTGAACATTCTGCTCTGCACTGAACCTCACTGGCTTAGCGTTGTGCTCGAAAGTGCCGATCGAATGCCGCAGGGCCTACTGAGTACCCCCACAGAATGTAATGTCACGCTGCTAAGTATTCATAGGCACTCGGCTAAGTACTCACCTTTCGGTTCTTTCTTTCCTGCTGTTGCTCTTCGTTTTCTAGGTCTTTTTCGTTTTCTAGAGGCTTTTTAGGTGTAACTGATGTTTTTTTTGTCAAGGGAGCGCCGGTTTCGGCTTTTTGGTCAAGTGCCTTCGGGCCTGTGCTGGTCACCCCACCCCACCTGCACCCTTCCTTTCCTTGCCTTTTTCGTTTGCTTGGACTTTTCTTCAGGCTTGTTAGGTCGGCGCTTAGGCTCGTTTAGTCCACGCACGCCCAACCAACACCCCCGCACCCCCTGCACCCACTCCTTTCTCTTCTTTCCTTCTTTGCCATTTTCGCTTGTTTGTTTCTTTCCTTCAGGCTTGTTAGGTTGACTTCCAGGCTCGTTTAGTCAACGCACTTTACCCCCCCCTCCCGCAGAGCCAAAAGAGAGTGCGCCGACTCGGCTTTCTGTGTGTGTCAACTCCTGTCTCTAAGAATTTTAGAATGTGTACAAAGCAGGGGGGCCATCCCTCTCACCAGTGGTGGATGGCCACCGAAGAGGCCACTATTGAGGGCTCAAACGCACCTGCTGATCTAATTAGGGCAGCAGAAGGAAATGGTACTCGACACACTTGTGTGTCGGTGCCTTTCCTTCTGTTGTCCCTGTTCCAGTCCAATCTACCTGAGCGGTCTAAGACTAAAGTCCCGCTCCCTAACTATTGCACCTAATTGAGAGCCGCGAAGTAGTCAGTAGCTAGTTTTTGTTGAAACCTTCTGTTGATCGGATCCAGCATTTCTCGCCGTTCCCTCAAGTCAAGGGCTAAGTATTCAGTAACTAGAGTGCTAGATAGTCAGTAGCTAGTTTCTGGAACTTCGAAACTGATACAGCTCTTGCGAGCCCTTTTCAAAGTGTATCAGTTTTCGTACCATTGCGAGCACGAAAGTACAAGACACATGAGTTATAGAGGAAGGAAAAGGTGTTGAAGCATTGCTTTTCGTGTTGCTTTGATGCATGTGACCTGGCCCAGCATGCCAGAGCGGTCTGCCGACGCAGCTTTGTAGATCGGCGCAGCACGCTCCTCTGCGGGTTCAAGTGGCTGACACCCCTTTGATTAAAAAAAGTAGTAATTGCAAGTGTGTTCGATGCAGCATCCTTGATGTTCGAAAAGGCAGACTGCGACCGCTACTTCGGCTACTTGTGTTTGTGCTTTCTGTGAAAATAATCTCAGGGAACGATAGGTCTCTGAAAAAAACGACCACTAGCCAATCACTTCTAAGTAGTTTTGCAAACGTTCAGCGGAGGTGGAGTGACCAGGCCCTGTGACCAACCTTTCAAGGCACCATTGAAAAGTACAGAGGTGCTTGTCGTCTGCCTCACACCATGGTGGGCCATGCCCCTACAATCCGTGCGTCCACATTCCCACTTCGGATTGACTAATGTAACATGAGAAGCCGTACAAATTGGTCTCGTGCGGCAATGACCTTGCGCCGTGTCAATGTTGATGGGAACAACGAGGTGGATTTTCTTTTGATTCCAAAAAGTGTCCGCATCACAGGCAACTCTCCTGGTCAAAGTTCTTAGAGACATTCAGGACTTCCTGACTGCCAAGCCAAATCCGTGGTGAATGGGTAGACGGCTCATGGGTAAATGGACTCATGGAATATTCTGCAGCTGCAGCAAAACAAGGGCGGCAAGGCCAAGTCCTCATCATCGAACATCCGGAAAGCGTTTGCTGTACAAGGATCCTGCAAACCAGTTCGGAAAAACACGGAAAGCGGAGCAGCTGCATTTTATTGCTGGGTAGTCGGACCTCTTTTTTTCATGGCTTTAACGGTGTTGTACGTACACTACGCAGAAGACCACCTGCCCAAGTCGAACGGCAGAGAAAACAAGTATATAACATTACACTTGTCGGACCTAAGTCTGTCGGGCTTTTACGATGTTATACGCACATGACGCAAAAAGACTACCTGCCCAAGTCAAACGGCAAAGAAAAACAGCCAAGTGGACGAACATCGCCGCAAAAAAGTAAAATAACAGCAGCAAAGCCTTCAACATAGATCCCACAGCCCCAATCACTTCCAACATACCTCCACGAGAAGCCCCAACAGAGCCCCAACATTGGGCGAAACGTGCCAACATGGAGAAGGATATGCCCCAAGAATGCACCAAGATCGCCGAAGATTGGTGCAAACATGCCCCAAATTTGACTGCCCATTGGAGCAAGCTTTCGTAAGCAACAAAAAACGACAAAAAAACTGTCAAAGCCACCTTTCTTACACTTGTCGGACCTCATTTTCATGGATTTATGGCGTTTTAATTTACGCACAGTACGCAAAAAACCACCTGCCAAGTCAAACAAGGCAGAGAAAAAGCAGCCAAATGGACCAACATGGCCGCAAAACATAACAGCAGCAAAGCCTTCAACATAGCCCTGATCTGGACCCCACGGCCCCAATCACTTCCAACATACCTCCACGAGAAGCCTCAAGAGAGCCCCAACATTGGGTGAAATGTGCCAATATGGAAAAGGGTATGTCCCAAGAATGCACCAAGATCGCCGAAGATTGGCACAAACATGCCTCAAATTTGACCACCCACTGGAGCAAGCCCGCATAAGCAACAAAAACGACCAAAAATTGTCAAAACCAACTTTCTTACACTTGTCGGACCTCATTTTGCATGGTACATACTTTTCTATAGTGACTATAGTGCTTTACACACACTACGCAAAAGACCACCTGCCCAAGTCAAACCGCAGAGAAAAAGCAGCCAAGTGGACCAACATGGCCGCAAAACAAGTAGCATAACAGCAGCAAAGCCTTCAACATAGCCCTGATCTAGACCCCGCAGCCCCACTCACTTCCAACATACCTCCACGAGAAGCCTCAAGAGAGCCCCAACAT